CGTAAGGTTTATAAGTGAAAGGGCATATGTAGGATCCCCTGGAAATAATTGCGGCCACTTACTTAAGGCCCCCATGGCTTCTCCGTGAGTTCGGTGAGTCCATTAGAGAGCTGATGGCTCACCTTTTCTCACTTTCTCTCCTCCTGTCCCCCCTTGCACAAGTGTTTCCTTATTTAGCGTCTGCTTCCTCCTTCCCATCTTGACATTGTTTCAGCGTCTGCAATCTCTTAGCTCAAGGCTTTGAACCCCAGCCAGGCCAGCGTGACTGCTCTTCCTGTCTGTTCTCCAGACACAAAGGATGGCAGAAATCTCCCTCTTTCTCTTCTGTCTCCCCCCTCCCCACCCGCCCGCCCACAGCCCAGTGTGGGCTTTGCTCCCAACTTGCGAATCACCACATGATGTTGGAGTCATCGGCTTTTACGGAAAAGGCTAATGAGAAAACAGCTTGGCACAGGGCCCCACGAGGTCACGTGGGGGGGAATAGAAAGTGATTTTTTTTTTAAAGTGTGTTTTGCTGGATAATTGTTTTTGATGGCCATGACAAGTGCAGAGCAGTCACCCCGTCCTCCAGATTGCAATGCTGGTCTCGTGGGCAGCTGAATGAAGCAGGGCGGGGTGGGGACACAACTCTGGGCTCTGTGGCCGTCCTATTTTGAGCTGTTTGTGGGTTGTTTGCCTCCCACTCCTCACCCCAAAATTAGACACAGACAAGAGCGCCACACATAAAGGAGGGTGGGCAGGAAGGGTCACAAGGCTGCCTTCCGTGCACCCGTGGCTTTTGTCCTCTGCGCCCCTTTGTCTTACAAAGGGCGAGTGGTCACTTTGATGGCCTCATGTGATGAGCGACTTGGGAAGAAGGTCAGAGCAGGCACTTGTTCACTCAGAGAGTGACGAGAGAAGCTCTTTCGAAATGGCAAGCGATGTTCCTGGAATGGGTTTCGTGCCCCGGGTGGTCCTGCATGGGGCTGAGTAGGTCTATCCTGGCCACAAACAAGAGAGCTTTTGATTCTACACACGTGCATTGCATCCCATGTGACCATGATCAGTTCCTGTTATCTGCCCTCCTTCGCATCTGGGGTCCCCCCACCCGATCCTCGGATGCGTGAAGCCTGGCTGCAGATGCCCAGTAGCAAAGGAAAGGCTGTCGGGCTTTACTCAGCCTTGCCCATCCTGCTTGTCAAACAGAGAGTTTTGTAGGATCTTAAAGACACAACCCATTTAGAGTGGCCCAGAGACCCCACTTTAGGGGCTGCCCTCAGTTGTTGGCTCACACAGACTGCTTGTTGTAAGCTGCCCTATGGACCCCATGGGCAGTGGCAGTTCGTCAAGGGAACACCATTGTTTGTGTTTGTTGCTGTGGCTCTGGAAAGAGGATGGGGTTACTGTGGCATGGCTAGCTGGAGGCTCAAATAAAGCCTCATAAAGTAATCAAAGTGACAAATGCACAAAGAACCATGTATGACCTGAGGCATTTTGGCCCATGATGTACATTGGCCCCGATAAGGCGATTTTACTTGTACTCTTAGGACCGAAACTGGAAGGTACATATATTGGAAATATTACTATCTCTAATATATATAATTGCTTCTGACACAAGGCCAGATCCATTTATGGCCCCGCAAATTTTTTGTGTGTGTGTCATTCAATTCCAGACAGGAACATTCCATTTTTGGTCCTATATCAATTGTTTACTGCCTTACAAGTGTAACAAGGGCTTTGTTGTATGCTGCATTCTGTACTATTTGACTTCTGAAGAAGGCTCTTGTAGGCCGAAACGCATCAGGTCATATATGGTTCTTTGTGCATTTGTCACTTTGATTACTTTATGAGGCTTTATTTGGGCCCCTACAAGGCTTTTTAATGTTTTTTTTAAATAAACACATGTACTTTTGTCTATACCTATTGATGTTTTTAACTTTTGGCCCTTTACTAGTTTTCTGAACTTCTTTTGGAGGGTTTTGCCCCTCTGTTCTTGGGTGCTAGCTGGAGGTTGCCATCTGGTCCATCTCCTGTTTTTTGTTTGTTTTAGAGGCAACCTGCCTATATTGGATCAAAAGCATGGTACAAAAGTTTTGAATAAACAATGATGGGCTTGCCCATCACACCTCTCACTCAGTGTGCCACACGATTTTCTGCCACACTGAATTTGTTAAGCCTTTGATTTGCCGCAGGATGCTCCGTTGTGTTGTCTTCAACAGACTGACAACTCCTTTTTTTTTCACTCTGTGCAGTTCATCTCATGCGTTTTCTGGGGCACCAGTGCCCATGGGCCCAACACTAGTTGGCAAAACAGTCTCCAGGGCCGGACAGCCAGTGAGAAATGAGCATGGTGGCTCAGCCCTCCGCTTTGATAAAAATCTAGCTGGGAAAATATTGGATTGTCCCAGCAGAACACAAAGCATGTAGAATAATCAATTGTGCCTCATTTTGCAGTAGAGTGAGAGTGGCGGAGGCTGCAGGGGGACAGGGTGCAGTGCTGGCGGAGAACAGCCTGAACATTTTGCTCCGTTACTGAGTTGAGAGGCGCCTTCGAGGCTGAACACTGGGTATGCCTACCTCAGTTGGAATCATACGTGATCAACCCACAAGAAGGCACAGTATGGCATTTAGCATGAGTAAACTTTTGCCAGGCCTCTCTTCACCTCTCCACCTTTCAAAAAAACAACACATTTTGCATTGTTAACGCCATTCCTCTGCCCCAAAGTGAAAGAGATCCTGAGTTGAAATTACGGACGCCTTAAAACCATCTTTGCTCTGACCTGGATGGCTCAGGCCAGCCCGATCTCGTCCAATCTTGGAAGCTAAGCAGGGTCAGCCCTGGCCAGTATTTTGATGGGAGACCACCAAGGAATACCAGGGTTGCACGGCAGAGGCAGGCGATGGCAATAGCAAATCACCCCTGAATGTCTCTTGCCTTGAAAACCCTACGGGGTCACCATAAGTCAGCTGCGACTGGATGGCACTTTCCACTTCCTCTAAAACCATCTTTATCCCATGCTCACGGCTACGGCTCTCGAGGCAGATAGCCGTAATTCAGTATAAAAGCACAGTAAAATATTATTGTGCAGCTATGAACACTAAGAACAATTGTAAGATGAAGCACAGGCTCTTCTGAACCTCTTGTGCTGGAGGAGGGTGCCGCCGTTAGCTCAGTGTAGCAGGATACAGCCCACCGGATAAAAATCTGGCAGAGTGGCGGGGATGTGGAAGTGAGAAAGTGTTTTAACCCGCTGCCCCGAGGTAGGCTTTCAGTCAGGAATCTTTGGGTTCAGAAGACGAGGTTAGAGAAAAATGCATCCATGGTCTCACTTGCATGATCTGACTTTGGCAGGTGAGGAACTGTGTAAAGGTACAGCTGCCTAGTGTTCACAAAGAAAGCGCTGTTAACTCAGTTCTCTGCACTCCAAAATCTGTCCAAAATCTCATGCTTTGAAAAGGAGGTAACATTCATCCCCTTCCGCCTCTTTACGAGCGGTCACTTGTCACATCCAGTCGCATGCTGAAGTGACTTCTGTGACACCAGCCTTCCCAGATTCATTCTCTGTAGCCACACAGGGATGCTTGTATAATTTCCTGCCTCTCTTGCTGGACTCTTTCGGTTTCCTGTCATCTTGGTGCTTGGGGGGGTCAACTGTGGGAGGGCTTCTAATGTCCTGGCCCCACTGGTGGACCTCCTGATGGCACTGGTATTTCTGGCCACTGTGTGATACAGTGTGTTGGACTGGATGGGCCTTTGACCTGATCCAACATTGGCGTCTCTTATGTTCTTATGTTCCTCAAAGGGTTGCGTTGTGGTGAATGGTTACCTGAGGCAGTTGCATCAGCACATCTAGGTAGGGATGCATTGGGCGAGGAGGTCTTCCCTCCCCCGCTATGCCTTGATGTCACAGCCAACTCTTTTTTTTTTTTTTTAAGTCATATTTATTCAGTTTTTGAATACATTTCATCATGTATACAAGTTCTACTTACAAATATAACAACTTACAGAGTCCCACAACATCAGATTTGGTATTTTAACTTTTCTTTAACCATTTATAAAACATTCCCCACCTATTAAAGAATATCGTTGTATCTTTGTATTGTAATAGTGTGGTCAGTTTATCAATTTCGATCATTTCTTGCATTTTAGAAATTAATTCTTTTTTCGACGGTATTCCCCCTTGTTTCCAGTTCTTGGCAAACAAGATACGTGCTGCCGTGATTATATATCCCAAAACATATTTTTGCTCCTTTGTATATTTCTCTGGTATCACATTTAACAAGAAGAATTCTGGAGCATATGGTATTTCTATTTCTAATATACCGCCCAGTATTTTATGTACTTTATGCCAATATCGTTGGGTCATAGCGCACCTCCACCACATATGGT